CCTATATAGGATTTGAGGTTTTCACAGCAGTGAGTCTGAAGATTTCTGTCTTCTGGGTTATTGCACCATGTGGTCTAGTAGATTTCCACCAACGTTTCAGAGTTCATACTGCCTCTGTCATCAGGGCGATGATTCATCGCCCTGATGATGGAGGCAGTATGACCTCTGAAATGTTGGTGGAAATCTAACACACTATACGGCGCAATAACCCAGAAGACAGAAATCTTCAATAGCTTATACAGTTAAAAATGGAAGTCAATCTGTCATTTTTACTTTAGAGTGAGGGAATGACAAACAGAAATTCCTTAGGTTTTATGACAAAGAAGTGATTATATTATAAAAAGGAAGAAACGTGGCATTCTACAAGATTTCGCTATTACAGCTGGCTAGCTGGCTGTCACCAAACTATCTCACTGTGAAGACGTCTTTCACTAAGAGAAGCAAACCAACAAAATAAGAGTAAACAATATGGTTACAAAACTAATCAACCAAGACCAAACATGTACATGCTCCAGACACTTGAATACACACAAATAACACAAGTTTAGCAATGTTTCTGTATCTGGCAAATGGTAAAGACAAAATAACAGCAAAGGTCACAATCCAAATGTTGCAAATATTAGTAAGACTATTACTTGTTGTCATGGAACAGCTTGCCCCCCCCCCCCCCCCCCCACTGTAACTTGTGTTTCTTGAATATAACTTTACTATGCAATAACAAACTTCCTTTGGGTAAGTTAGATTAATTTCCTTTCAGCTTAATAACCACAAATTAAACCTGAATTCAGTGACAGATTATAGAGCTTGGTTAAGTTAGAATAGTTATGTTAGTTAGTAAATATAAATAAAACCTAACTTCAAAAATGTAAGTGGGCAGAATACTATAAAACCCACTGATCAAGAAGTCATGCAACCTATATTAAAATATTCATTAATGGTTTGACTGGATTAATAAACATATCATATTGTTGTGACTATTTAAAAGCCCACACAGATCACGTCATGTTCTAACCTGCTCGTGCCAATACATCAGCTGTCTTTAAACAAAGTGCAAGTATGTCTTCTTCACAAGTGCAACAAATGTTCATTGTCAAACACTACCTGGCATCTTGTTCTTACTTAAATTACCAGAATGAGTTTAAGGGCACATTATTCACATTACAATTATCTGGTATCAAACAGATAAACAACATCTCATCTGGTGAACCATTTTCGTCACGGCAGAAGCACTTCACAAGTTGCATCAAACATGGAGAAAGACTGAATGTATGCATTGCTGAGCATAGTGGACATTTCCAGCAACATGCTTGTTTGGTTTTCTGATTTCAATTTAGTTTATTTTCTGACATATAGAACATGTGTCACGAATGGATTGCATGACTTTTCAATCACCCTCTATATTTGGCGATGCTCTTCTGATACTCACATCTATTCATGTAAGCTTCAACATTTTTCATCCGTTTCACGGAGGGGTGGTCACAGTCAGCTACCAATGCCTGAACTGTGTCCTGAAAACAAATAACTCAGCTATATGTAAGCATCAGAAATCTGCAAATATTTTGACCATACATCTAAACAACCTATTCAAATTCCCAGATCTCTCTATATTGGTTAGTGCTCTACATATGACTAGAACAGGTGTTCTCCCATTGTCAAGCTGGGAGCTGTAACAAGAGTGGGACGAGATGTTTGCCCTGCACATTCAGGATGAAATCTCAACATCTTCCCTGCAGTAACTACCATGATATAACTGATCTGACAAACAGGAAACAACCTAAAGGAACTTTAGTGTATAAAAGCTATATATGTATATAAACAGTATTATCCCCTTCAAAGTACGTGTTGATCACACCACCATAAGCCCTACCTGAAAACTGCCATTCCAGAACACTTCTGACATATCTAACTTCCCACACATTCTGTTCATTCATCACCATAACAACAACAAATACTATGTCAACTTACCAAAAGGCAATCCACATTTGCAATACTACGAGGATCTTGAATTGTCTCTTCTAACTGTCGCAAACGACGTTTGCGATCGTCATCCTTGATACCATCCATTTTTATACTAGATGTATAGATTATATAAAAATCAGTAAAACATATTCAACCAGTATAACTGGGCGATTTACATTCCACAACACATGCTGGAAACGAAACACAGTTGTAATAATTACGGACACTACATACATCACGTTACATGGCACCTTTCTACTACATTAACAGTACTATTCATTTTTATTCCTTTTATTTCAGCACTATAAGACTAACATTCTTATTCAAAATTAGTGCTGTCCAACTTTCTTCTTCCACTATACTGTGCACATAATTAGCTTGTTTTTCACACTACATAGCAATCAGATGCTTTTTATACACTATCAGCAACAAATTCATCAATAAGTCACACAACACAACTTTATTTCAATACCTTACCTGTTCTATCTATAGATAATTCACAACCTATTATGTGAAAGTAAATCATGAAATGTGACAGACACCTTTCCAAACCTCAAAATCCAGGTTTAGTTACTTGCTAGTGTATTATGGTGTCTATACTTTCACAGCCGTTACGTTCGTTGTTTCTTCATTTTCCTGTTCAATATAGAATAATACTATTTTCAGTTCTTACGTACAACATAAATGTAATACCAAACAATAAGTGGCCGAAAATCCAAGTTCAAGATGCATGAAGGGTGCAGTAGTGGTAAGAAGTCATCACCAAGAGTAACAAGCCCACAACACCGAACATCTATAAAACCGTAATAAGTTGTAAACAAAATTTCCTGCAATTCACTTTCAAGTGAAGGCTTTCTCCTTTACTTGATCTTGATGACAGGTCTTTGTATTACATCTATAAATGCGGAAATGCAATATCACACACTGTACTTACATCAATTAACACGTAATACTTCCCAATGCCAAGAACAAAGTGTTCTAATTTATCTCGATCTTACCTTCACATTTCTTCAAGACGTGCGAATAGCAAACTGTGTTATTGTAATTGCATTATCTTACATGTTTTTCACACTCATGCCCGCTTTTCTTGTTAAACATTATGGCTTCCTAGGGTTACCAGGCTTCCCAATCGTTTCGAACAGAGGATGTATAGAAGGCAGTGCCGTGCTGATAGATATCAGTTTTGTTCCGCTACGTTAGACCGGCATAAGAATTTCCCTTTCATTTAATTCCTATTGTGTAGTAACGTGAACGTAAAGCTGCCAGTGCTTAATTAGGCTCCGCGTCATGTAATGGCGTAAGGGGTGGAGGAATAACTCCACACATTCTTTACCTCGGCACTAGATACCAACCAGATGTGAGGGTTTAGCTTTATGCCCCGACTGCTTTACACCGAAGGAAAGAACCATGGTAGATGCAAAGCAGGATAGGTCCCAGAGCCGGTCTGGTCGTTGTGGCGAAGAGAAAAATTCTACCCTGCCGCTGATGCTAAACATTAAGATGAATGAGCTACACCTATTGTGTGGTGTATATGAACAACCGAACTGTTCATCTACTACGCATTTTTCTCGTTCTCTAATTCTTGTGGCAAAAACACTTTAAGTTTATTAATCAGACTACAATGTCGTATAACTGCTTCAGGGCAGATCTCTATCTTGAACAAATGAAGATGCTGTGTTAAATGTTAACCTCTAAAGACCTGACGATCTAAATTTCTTGGTGGATCTCGTAAGATCAGTAGTCCATGACGCTCTTACGGTTGCCAACTCTGATTGCATTCATATCCAGAGATATCTTTTGCAATTATTATGTAATTATTTTCACGGGTTTGCATGGGTGAAATTTAATGTACAAGAATGCCGGGCTTTCGGCGATACGTTGAGTATTTGTACAGTTATCATGATAGGGTAAGTGTGACGACCGCCCAATCCTATCATTCAACTCCCAATGCCCGTTCATCATAACCTCCCCACCCCCTTTTCCAAACATTCACTCTGAAAATGAAAAGTGTACTGTTTGCCGATACATGTAACCCCTGCAAGTATTGAAGCGACATGTCTCCGAAATCTGAAATTATATATGAAGGCTCAAATAGCAGAGAAATTCTACACAAACTTCCAACTTCGCGCGTACACTGAACAAATAAATTCTATGGAGTCTTTTCACATAAAATTTCTATTAACACAAGCAACTTGTATCATTTTGTTCCTTCGAAGTGTTTACAGCAGCCGGCAACAAATTTAATGCTGTAAGATCACAGAAAAATCGTACGATGTAACAACACAAACAGCGGAGCCCAGGTGAGTGAAGACAGCTCGCAAGTCGAAACGAGCGTTTTTTTCGAGGTTTTTTTTTTGGGGGGGGGTCGTTTGGTGGTCTTGAAGCATACAGTTTGGAGACGGCTACTGTAACAGAACAAACACCGATCTTTAATTTGAGCATCTTGTCTATATTAATAGTTGTTACTATTATGTAAATAACGTAGATGTTTCAAAGCTAATTTTTCTTCTTTTATTCTGAAATCGAAATGCATCAGTACATAACTCATGAGAAAGTTGCAAAAGGAACACATCCAACCTATTACACTTATTATTTTTCCAGACACTTCGTGCTAAGGCACAATTCCAAACTTTCCAAGATGCAGTTTAGTGGTGGAATTTATGACACATTTGTTCATGGGCTAGCAGAGGGTTTAGAAAAAGGTCCATATATGGTACAAAGTAACCTTTTCGGTTGAAGGCAAAACCCACATTACCGGTTAGTCGCCGGTCTCTCGCTTGGGAGACAAGGTTTCGCGCTTAGGCCAGTCCATACGGGATTTGTGGTGGATTAAGTGGTAGTAAAATATTGAGGAAGTCTTTCTCCGAGATATTATTCATGCTTCATGCTCATTTATGCATCATTTGAGAACTAGTCTAAACTTAGTTCCCTGCTTTTAAAATTATAACAGGAAATTATAAATCGTTGACTAAAATGTAAAGAAAATGTTGACGTGTTTTCTTTTCAAGACGTCAAAATTCTTGAAAAAAAGGGTATTGGCTATGTGGACATACGTGATGGCTATCTTTTGTGGCTGTGATGGCTTAATATGATCCGTGCCATAGATGATCGAAAGTATGTGCTAAATTAGAAAACTCTGGTCATGTGGTCTTCTGTGGCGAATAGAATGGAGGTAAGTACTGTTATTTATTTATATTTATTTGTGATTTACTTGACGATAGTGTCATAGCTCAGACTGTATGGCGTCAAATAATACGGCTAATGAATGAGTTGGAAAAGATGTGGAATGGAGCGATCATGGCCTAATTTAAAGTACTATTCCGGCGTTTGCATGGAGGAACTGAGGAAAACCATGAAAAATTACGCTACCACTGTCTATATCTGACAAGAGTTTTGAGCCCAGTACCTTACAGATACGAAGCATGAGTGTTGACCATTCGGCCACGAATAACCATCAGGTAGTCTGCGGTTGACCAAACTCGTTACAGTAGTTTGGCACAAATTGATTACCTCAAGGTGTCACGTCAATATTATTTGTAACAAGATGAAAATCCCAATAAGTTATGTTGAGTTTGATGCTTGATGCTACAAAGGTGTCCTGTGATGCTATGCAGCATGTGCTTTGAAAGAAGTATAAACCCTGCACTCATTGTTGATAATTTCTGTACTGAGTTTTATTATTTTTCATAATTGTTAAACCTGTGTGTAATGTGTTTGTAGTACAGAGACGTGTGAAAGTAATACCATTCGAAACCCCGTAAAAATGGAGACTTTAGACCCCAGTAATATCTATTGTAAATTTATGAGAATCATAAAGCAGAGACAAAACTCAAAAATAGGCAGATTGAAAGGTGCCCAGACACAACCCTTCAAGCTCTGTTAGTAAAGTATTGTGTTCTGAATTTAAATGCTAATGTGATGATCCTATGCAAATTAATATTCATCAATAAGTGCACATTATTAAGTGCATTACTGAAATTGCTCTTATAACATTTATGTTCAAAGTAAACCAGTGTATTGACTATGGACATATGTATATAATGTTTATTTCAAGATGTGTGGTATGCAATGCGCTATCTGTTGTAAGATAGTCCTCAGTTATAAAGGCTTTAGATTAGCTCGCTCACAAAAGTTATTTTTGTTTGTGTAGTTGACTTCATGCGACTGGCAAATAAAAAAGCAGAAAATCAGTGAGCGAGGTCAATATCTTCTACGGACAGCCCAATGGAGCGACTGCAAATTTATTGTTGGGACGGAACCATACCAGCAGGTACACAGGAATAAGAACTGTGGATTTAAGACATTTTGTTTTTTGTTGTTGAAAATATTGGTATTTCATATTGCATTAATGATTGATCATTAAAACAGTTTTAAATAATGCACGTTTTATAGGCTTTCAATTAATGAAGTTTTACTTTAACACATAAAAAATTAATTCTTGCTACAGCAAATATACTACAATGCGAAGTAGCTCCTGAATCATCATCTTCTGCCAGAGAATTATCACTTATCAAGGTTTAATAGTGCCAATTAATTTTATTTTTTTCACTCTAATATAATTAATTCAGAATTAAATTAACAGACATGTACATGTCAATATTTTGTTGATTTTATTTCAGGAATTTTCACTCTGTGAACAACTTCATTCATTCATTTGAACCTGAAGACAGAGATAGAGTCCCATCTCCGAAACGTCGTTTTACGTTTTATATTTACTAGACGATGGATAATATCCAAGTAAATTTTTATTCTATTGACTCTTCACCATCGTCAAGAAGTTTTAGATTTGATAAACTTCATTACTTCCTATTTTTGTCTGAAACTTTTTAATATATAAAACTAGAATTTTACTTGTTATTTTATGTATGTGTGAAATGTGGACTTTGAGGAAGAAACATGAATTTAGGGTATTTGGGAACATCTGAGGCAAGAACACATGCAGATATTTAGGAAAAGAGTTCTGAACTGAATATTTACATCTAAGAAAACCAAAGTAATGTGGGAATGAAGAAAATACTTATTAAGTAGCTTAATAATTTGTACCCTCTGTTGTTAAGTTAAATCAAGAAGGATGAGATCAGTGTAAATTTAGCACAAATGGATGACATGAAAATTTCATTCAGAATTTTGGGCAGAAAACTTCAAGGGCTGCTTTGGAGACTTAGAGGGATGATATGGCAATATTGAATAGAACTTTGAGATATAAGGAATAAGAAATAAAGAGTGGGCTGGATTTAGTGAGCTGAATGGTGGGCTTTTGTTGATATGTTATGAATCTTTACAATGAATAAAAGTAGGTACTTTTTTGAATAAAAATTTGCTGCTCGACAAAACAAAGTGCTGTGTAAATGGATATGACTTTTCCAGCAGTTGACACATTTACAATTAACTTCTCAGAATGAATATTATCATCTACATTCACAGTTACAATATTGATTTCTTTAAAAGTACAGTGCACTTTGTTTTTAAACAGTTATTCCAACACAAACACTACACATGTGTACATTAATGGGTGGACAGACAGTTTAACTGATTTGAACTGGGCTATAATACAACTATGTGGTCACAGTGGTGGTGCAGTCTGAGGCGTGGGCCTTGTACACTTGGACCATGGGTTCGAATCCCACTCAAAACACTGATGTTTGTTTGCGTCTTTCTGTATTGTGGTGTCTTGTGTATAGGTAGAAGCCTTGCAATGGGCCGACCACTTGTCCAAGGAGTCTTACAAAAAATGTCTAAATAGATCAAAAACCTCCAAGAGTAGGCCCTATGCTTCACATTGGAGCAAAAAGGATATATAAAAAAATTATAAAACTATAAATTAAAGAACTTCTCATATTGATTATTGATGGAGCAATCAGGTTTCATTATATTCTTAATTATGCACTAGTAATATGTAGAATCAAATTGTATTTGATACTATCACTATGATACCATGAAACAACTGAGGGGCACTGCAGGGGATCCACGTTGTATTGTCATCAAATTTCAAGAGTGCTAAGCTGGCAACTGCATTGAATCTGTACTGTAGTGGAGCCAACTGATACTTCTGTATTATTTCAGGAGTTTGGAGGTCACAAACTCATCTTGGCAATGTCGAGTCCTGTTTTTGAAGCAATGTTTTTTGGTGGAATGGCAGAAAAAAATGATCCCATCCTTATCCTGGACGTGCAGCCCGATGCTTTCAAGGCGTTACTGGAGTATGACATTTTATTTTTTTAACTTTTATTTTCTTGTTAAATCCATGATTTTATCTTGAAATAAACCATGACCTGGTTTTTCTCAGTCCTTCCCTGTATATACCCTCACCCTACCACTTGTAAGAAAATTTATAAATCTTACTGTATGAACTGTGTGGCACTCTGATGGCTGTTACAAACATCATGAATCTTCCCTGTCCTGGCAGTGGTATTAGAAATACATTATTTCACTCTATGAAGACAGCCTGCAATAAGCAATATAGTCCTGTGACCCACCATTGCCAATCAAGGTACTGAAATCTATTCTCATGTTACCAATTTCTGACCTGCATGGGAGCCAGCATGTTTATTACACAAACAATATTAGGTAAGATTAATGATGGCATTAAATATTATTTGTGATATATGATATTCTTGGAACTGATGTGTTGTTTGGAACACATACTGGACTACCTCAACAATTGGTATAAATTAATAACAAATATAAAATGCAAGTTACAGGATCAACATCATCAACAACTGCAGAACATAATTATAAGTAACACATCATTTGAAAATGTTTCAAAATGTAAGTATCTGGAAACAACAATAACAAATGTAAATGAGGTCCATGATGAAATTAAGAGTGGAATATATTTGGGGAACGCTTGTTTTTATTCAACTCAAAAACTGTTATCATCTCGTTTACTATCCAAAATAATAAAGACCAGGATATATAAAACAATGATATTGCCAGTTCTCTTGTATGGTTCTGAAACATGGCCTCTTACTTTGAAGGAAGAACGTAGGTTACAAGAGTTTGAAAACGGTGCTCAGTAGGATATTTGGGCCTAGGAGGGATGAAATTAGCGGGGAATTTTGAATACTGCATAACGAGGAGCTGCTTGAATTGTATGGGTCACCTAGCATAGTGAGGATAGTGAAATCTAGGGGGCTCCGATAGGATGGACATGTAGAACGCATGCAATCGGTACATGCAGGATTTTGGTAGGGAATCCTTCTGGAAAACGACCACTGGGCAGACCAAGAAGGATATGGGAAGATAACATCAAAATTGATCTTAGGGAGGTGGGCTGTGAGGATTGCAAATGGATGGAATTAGCTCAAGATTGTGGCTGGTGGTGGGCTTTGGTGTTGTCAGTGTTGAACCTGCGGGTTCTGCTACTAGGGAGTTAGTTATATAATGCAAGTTGATGAGGCATGTATGAGCTATGGTGCATACCTGTAGTATTATTGTGGTTTCCTTGCATGTTACTGAACTGCAGGACACTGACAGGCATCGATTAACCCTCACCTTTTCCGCGTGTGAGGTGAATGTCTCACTGAACATGAGACCCATAGATATGAAGATGTAGACAGGGAAAATTTATGCAATATGCTGATTGTACTGATTGTATGAGGTTTCCTAAAAATTATCTGGGAGAGTATAAGTAGTAATTACATGTTGGTAGTACTGATCCAGTGATTACATAAGAATAAAACCACCTGAATTGCTGTATATCTTGCACATGCTTCTAACAAAGGGTAAAAATGGTATGCTTTTTACATTGGTGTCACTGTAGATGATAGTAAGAATATTTTTACTATCATCTGCTGACAAGACCTGTACTTAGGTGGATATGATAAGACAGTTGGATGACATGCGTTTTCCAGTGATGGAGACTAGCTCTAATGGACCCAACTGAGTAGGTACCTCTCGCCTGAAGACAGAAATGGAGCCAGATTCTGAAACATCATGGTTTATATTTTTAAATAAGGACATTGGAAAAAGTCTAGACAATGAATAATTTTAAGTGTAATCCACCATCATCAGAACCATTTAGAGTTGAATTATCTAAAAAGTGTTCATTTAGTTCACTTTATGCAAAAAATCATATAAAATTATTAAAAGTCCTTTTACGCATGTCTTTTTCTTGCATTCACAGTGTGGAGTATAGAAGTATTATTTGATTGCTTAATTTCCTTTCAGGTATATTTATACAGATGCAGTCAACCTGCAGTCTTTTGACCAAGCATGTGAATTATGCTACGCTGCAAATAAGTACATGCTGCCACATTTGGTGGGAGAGTGCACCAATTACTTGTGGCATGATTTATTTCCAAAAAATGCCTGTAGAGCATATGAATTTGCAAAGCTATTTGAAGAACCTGTGCTTATGGAAAAATGCTTGCAAGTAAGTTTAAGTGTTTTGTTATGTTGGCAGTAATATTTGCCACCACTTCTTTCTTGCACTAATAGAAGTATTATAATGCGATATGAGCATGAAAAACAGAATATCAAAGTAAAAATGTGAGAGATGACATGTCATTTATATACTGTAACTGTCATATGTATCCTTCTAAATGGAGATTGGAGATGCTGGCCAGGCTTGGTAGAAATAAGTGAAAACTACAAGTCTTAAGCCACATTTAAGACAGTTCAAGATTGAAAAATCTTACCTTATATTTTGTACTGATGATTACCTTTGTCTCTCTCTGTATGGAAAGAATGTATGTATTAATGGTGTCTGTGAACAAAGTACAGAGGAAAATATTTGGATCTAAGAGAGAGGAAGTATCAGGAGATTGGAGAACATTTCTGCCTGAAGAATCATAATTTGTACATATAAAATATTTCTAGGGGAACAGCTTCGTTGTAATCAGTGGATCATAAAAATATCAATATTACTTTTATATCAGTTAGACTATATCTCTAATTCCAGAGAAAGTCACCCTGTTAGTCTAAACATATGAATGTAATTCACAGGATGAAATAGTACAATACTGGGCTTCTTAATTTGTAACTTTTGTATGTGTTCTGTGTGTTCCATGTACACTTTTGTTATATTGTATAACCCTGCATGATTACAAATATTTACCACCCAAGTTAAATACTTGCATGTACCGAGTGAAAAGTTAATAACAATAATATCAATCATAGCGCTACGAGCCACAGTCAACAACAACCTTGAAAATGAGGACATAGATGGTCCTCGAAACATCGGCGATTAATCACCATCAAACACAGCTGACAGCCCGAGAAGACTTTATTAATGAAAGCCACTGTGAAAGCTTCACATCATATAGTTTGAAAATTGTTATGAAACACTTTGTTCATTTCATAGTAGAAATAACTGCACATAGCTAATGTTTTGTTGTGCTTCAGATTATCTGTCTAGAGACAGAAGCTGTGTTGCAAGAACCTAGCTTTGAGGAAGTTGAGTTCTCAACATTAATTGTTGTCTTGGAACAAGATGAGCTGAGGATCAGTTCAGAGTTGGAATTATTCAAAGCAGCTCAGCGGTGGGCGGCCCGTGAATGTGTCCGTAAAGGTAGGTCTTGGTGCTATATGCAAAGTTGATGAAGATCACTGTAAATTGTGAACTGGCAAGGATTACAGAGATATAATTATTTGTTTTGAAATAATTTTATACTTATCGTGTCATTGCCCAACCTCATGTACATGGTGAAATGATGTTTAAATTAAACTAAAATTGCAGAGCACATCTTTTGTCAGCAACATGGCTATAAATATTGCCTGTTATGTCCTTTTAGGCATTTTATTGCAAGTATGACTTCCAGATATGAAGGATCACACCAGAATTAAGTGTTCACTGTCTAAAGTTGTTGTCAACATGGTATTCAAGGTGATACATTTTCTTTAATTTAGCAGGTGGCAAGATAGCTCACATCATGCTGCTAGCTGCTGTAGTGGAAATTAAACTGAGTTAATTAGTGTTTTTAGGGGTTCAGTGGGACCGTACATAAATTATTTATATATTTCAAAAAAGCCTATGACTCTGTGAAGAGATAAGTGCTATATAATATTCTTACTGAATTTGGTATACCAAAGAAGCTAGTGAGTCTAATAGAAATGTGCTTAAATGAAACCTGTAGCAAAATTAGAGTAGGTAAATATGTATCTGAGACATTCTTCATCAAGAACGGTCTAAAAAAAAGGAGATGCTTTGTCTCCCTTGCTCTTTAACTTTGCAATAGAATATGCCATCAGGAAAGTCCAAGATAGGCAGGAGGGTTTGCAATTGAATGGGACACATCAGCTATTGGCATATGCTGATGATGTTAATTTATTGGGGGATGATATGAATACAATAAAGAGGAATGCAGAAGTTTTACTAGAGGCTAGTAGACAGGTGGGGCTAGAAGTAAACTCAGAAAAAACTAAGTACCTGTTTGTATCTCGTCGTCAGCAGACAGGCGATCTTAGGGTGGGTAACAAATCCTTTGAATGTGTGACAAAGTT